TCACTGGGTCAGACACATTCGTTTTCTGGAGCCCAGCAGAGGTGACATGTCCATCAGGAAAGCGCCTGCCTGTGCTGGGGGCGCTCTGCCAGCCTCCCTGGGACCTTGTTCTGTGCAGATGTGTCCTCTCCCTCTCCCCCCACCTGCCTGATCAGAAGCTCTGGGTTTCTACCCCTCCACCCCTCCACCCCCCACACCCCGCACTGCTTTGACAAGCCTCCCCAGGGGATGACGTGGGAGATGGTGGGGGCTGTCTACCAGTGGAGAAGGTGGAGGTTTGCACTCAGAGCAGAGGATGTTTAGACTTGAAGGGACCAGGCAGGAAGGTACTGGTTTTACTAAGCCCCGTGTTTATTGGGCACCCACTAAGTTCGGGGCCCTGTATGTACCGAGTGGATTCTGACAAAGAAGCTGTCGCAGGAACCCCAGCTTGCTGCAGAGGGGGGCCCAGGCTCCGAGGCTGGTTGTCAGGGTTACCAGGTGCTGGCTCGGCTGGGGCTGCAGGCTGCGCTAGGCGGGACTGGGCTGGGCTGGTACCTGTGCCTGGTGTCGGCCCAGCTGTCGTTGCAGTGGTCCGCTGCCGCTCTCCAGCCCAGGGCAAACAGCTGTGCCAGGTGCACCCTGGGGGACCAGGCTGCGTGGGCTTCCTGCAACTGGTGAAGCTGCCAGCCACTTCTTCTGTGCTGTCTCCAGCAGGCAGTTCTGGGTATACAGTCCTCATTTGCCTATAAAGCAGGCCTTGGACCATCTCTGCCCCAGCCCCAGTGTTGGCCCTTTGTATGAATAGTCTCTGAAACCAACAGACTCTGAAACCATGCTCAGAACGCACCCTCTCTTTAAAAGACTCCTGGAGGCAGTCCCTGGGGGCCTGGCAGTAGCACCTGTTTCTGTTGAGCCTGAAAATGACAGAAGGGACTGCCGGATGCCCGCCTGGGGCACTCACAGTGGCTGTGCTTGGACTTGAAGGGGTCCCGGAGGATCATGTTCATTGGGTGCCCCCAATTACAGACCGGCCAAGGTGCTGAGCCCTGCAGGACTCACTACTCTGTCCGGCTCGGGGGCAGGTGAGGACCGGCGGCCCAGGGAGTGGCCTCTGGAGCCGACAGATAATTTTCACTGTGGCTGGTCCTGAGCCTTATCCACGCATGCTCCTGTACCTCTGTACCTGGTCCATGTTTGTTACTTGAAAGAATCAGGCATTAGTCTGTGTGGGGAGGGTTCATGGGGCCTGCAGGGTTCCCACCCAGCCCGGGCCCACAGGTCCCACCTGCTCTCCACATTGAACGTGCCTGTTACTGGCCCTTCCCCTACCCTCTCCTCCAACACTGGACCCTGGGGGATCGTCCCTGTGTCTGTGGCAGGATTTTATCAGGAGCTGGACAGAGTTGGGGCCAGAAGACCAAGCTGCCAGCATCAGGGGAGGTGAGCAGGGTCGGCTGCCGCAGAGGTGAGCGTTCACGGGCATCAGGCAGGGGAGGCAGGCACCTCAGAGAATCACCTCCCCAAGGGGAGAGAGGAGCGGCCAGGGGCCAAGAGAAGGCAGCCTCTTGGTTTACAAGTTGTGGGTGTGTGAGGGAGCGGGGTTGGGGGATCAGCCTGCGGTAGGCACCTGTCCCATCTGTGGGCCCTCCCTGTTCAGGCACCTTCTTGCACGGTCTGTGAGGTCAGTATCACTGCGGGCCCCACCCCAGAGATGGGGAGGCACAGGGGGTGGGGGTGTCCCCCACCTCGTGCCGGGTGGTGGCAAGCTCCCCAGGATGCCCCAGCTCTGAGCAGGGCAGGTGGCGAGAGCAGTGGGAGGTCTTGGTGCCCACACCAGAGTCCTGAGGAGAAGTGGGCTGGCTGTGTCCCCAGTCTCTCCTGCATGAGCCTTAGGGCATCTGAAGTGGCTTTTGAGTCAGGACCAGGACCATGGCTTGGGCCTTACTGTGACAGGTGTCCTGGCCGAGGCCCTGGCGCTGGCTCTGGGTGTGGCTGGGGCTGTCCTTCCTTCACCTTGCTGTCAAGGCCCACCTGAAGATGAGGATGTTTCTGTGACTCAGATGGCCCTGGGGGGTGGTGGGGACGCCGGTGAAGGGAGGAGGAGGGCAGGGGTCCCTCCAATGCACTGCCCCCAAGGGACCCCGGCTCTTTGGGAGCCCCTGCCAGCCAGCCAGGTGAGGACGAGGAAGAGAGCACTCCAGACTGGGAGGGGTCCCCAGCTCAGCCTGCCCGGCTACCTGTCAATCAAGCCAAGCCACGCCACGAGGCTTGATCTCCCAGGATCCCCGGGACGGCCTTTATCTCTTGGCCCAACTGTCCCCACAGGCTGGTGTGGCCACATTTATCTGGGGGTGGCTGGCCCTGTGTGCTCAGCCTCCTCACTCTGACTCGGGGCACAGCCCTGCCGGTCTCCCTGCTGTATGCTGCTGTTGCGGCCAGCAGCCCCTCTGTGGTGTGGACACTGAGGCTGGGGAGAGGGCAGGTGCCAGCAGGGGCTGAGGTTCAAACCCCAGACTTCTCCCATGACTGCCTCGCTTCCTTAAGGTCAAAAGGTACTGAACCCACATTAATTCATGTATTTAAGATTTTATTTCATCTTAAAACTTTAAAAAAGAACACTGTGGAGAATAATGAAGCCTTTGCTTACTCATCACCCAGAATCAGTGAACATTAAAATTTATGTTCTTGTTATAAAAGGAATAAATATGATAAGGTCCCCTTTGTTCTGTGGCCATTTTGCTCCCCACCTGACTTCCAAAACGCAGGCCCGCCTGTCTGCCCTGTGGTTATTTTTAATGTCAGGAGATGATCCAGTGGCACCCGCCGGCCCCTCAGGACTGTTTTTGGTTGGGGAGCAGCTGGGTTGGATCTGGGCAGACAGGGTCAGGCTGGCAGGGGGGCCCTGGCCTCTGTCCCACCCACGGTGACAGCCCTGATGGCTGGTTGGGCACTTCTGGGCAAATCGCTGCCTTTCCTGAACCCCCCAACCCCCTAGCAGACATGATAGCCGCAGGGGCCGTGCTCAGTGTCCGCAGCGCCTGTCTGGCATCTGGAGTTCAGTGGTGGCAGCCTGCCGCGTGTCCCTTTTGGGGAAAGGCCTGAGTGCAGCTTGGCCACACCTACTCCCGCCTCCCTCCCGGCATGAATGAGCGAGTGATGCAATCAGCCGGCCTCTTGCAAATCCGGAAATCCCTGGCTTGCCTGCAAGGTCCCTGAGGCCCAGTTTCTTTTACGGACACACCCCCCCCCCCCCCCCCCCCCCCCCACACACACCATAAGGAAATGGGACTGTCAGGTCAGGACCTGCCCCCTCACCCTGTGCGGCAGAGAAGGAACTGCCTAGACCCACTTGCCTAGACCCACTGACCCAACCCTGCTGAGCCCCGAGGGTTAGACTGGAGAACTCTGGACTGGTGACATCTCCATGTCCCTGGGAGCCCTGGCAAAAGGGGGGTTTCCCACTCCTCACCTCTTCTCTTTGGATGAGGAGTGGAAGGGAATTTCAAGTATTTTATTTTAGGAATAGCAGCAAAAACACTGACTTTCAGACATTTTTCAGCCAGACTTTCCTGGTGTGTGGTAGCCATCTCCACTCTGGCATCCCCACAGTTGTAGTGGGGTGGTTAACTTTGGAGAGAGAGGCAGGCGGGCGGCCGGTCCCGCACCTCGGGACGTTTCCCATGTTTGCTGGCTGCTGTCATCAGTTAGTTAGCATGGATGTCTTTCCTGGGGTCTGTTGCTGGAATTCTAAAATTCCACAGGATTTGTTCAGCTGGGGAAAAGCCACTGGAGCCCCCAAGACCTCGGCTGGCCAGACCTTTCTGAGCGTTACTCCCATGGAGAAAGAGACAAGAGCCTGCGGCCTTTCCGGTGCTCTCACCTTCCCACAGTCTGAGCAGTGCGGTGCCGAGAGGGCTGCGAGAGCCGCGCTGTGCGGGTGGCCCGTGCCGGGCCTTTGCCCACTTCTGGGGTGTAGAGGTTCCCACTGGCAGATTTCAAGCTCCTAACAGCTACGAATCACCATGTGGGCACGGAGGGGTGAAGGGTGGTGCAGCAGGCAGTGAGGGTGTCGGGGAGTCAGTGCCTCGGGGCTAATAGGCTTTTACTTCATTTTAAGTTGTGGGGGTGGCTGTTTCCCCACCAGCTCACAGATCCCTGAATAGCGGCTCAGCCTGCCCACATATTGCAACAGAACCCCCCGACACACACACACACACACACACACACACTCTCCGGCTCAGAGCTGGGTGCCTTATAGGACCCAGGAGGACTTGCTGGTGTCTGGAGACCTGTCTGAGCGTGCCTGACTGCACGTCTCAGCGCCTTCTGGGGCAGGCAGGGGTCCCGGCCATCTGTGTGGAGTCACTCAGGCTTCTGAAGCACATGGTGCTATTTTGGGTTTCATCGTATGCCCCCAAAGCAATAGGGCAGCAGGGTCAGCTCTGCTCACCACAGGCCCCTGTGTTCCCTCCCAGGCTGCGCCAGTGCCCCGCCATCCCCAGGTGACTGGCCAGGTGTTTCCAGGATAGCGGGACAACCCGCTTCTGTTGGAATCCACAGAAGATCCTCTCTGAGGAAAGGGCCCCGCCCTCATGGAGTCTGGCAGCCGGGCTGTGCGGGGGGGTCTCACAGGCAGGCACATCAGGGTGCTAAGTAGGTGCAAAGAGGTGTAATGGACACCTTCCAAGTGGCAGGTCACCTTGCTCACCTGGGTCTCTGGAGGCAGCGACCCCACTCAAGGCCCTGACCATAGGTGGGACTCCGTGGCCTGGTGTTGGCAGTTGGGGGTGAGGAAAGGTCCCTTACAACCCTTGAGGGGCACCTGGTTTATCAAAACAGGTCCCGGAAAGTCAGAACCTGCCCTAGGGTCTGGCACGGGGACTGGAGCTGTTTAAGGAGCTTGTTTTTTTGGTGGACCCAGCCCTGGCCCTGGGGTAGGGTTGGGGTCGTCACATCCCGACCTCCCCCAGAGCTGGCATCTGCCCGTGAAACTCACTGCCACCCTCTTGTCTCCACAGTGCTGCTCACGGCCGTGAACTGCTACAGCGTGAAGGCCGCTACCCGGGTCCAGGATGCCTTTGCCGCTGCCAAGCTCCTGGCCCTGGCCCTGATCATCCTGCTGGGCTTCGTCCAGATCGGGACGGGTGAGTACGTCCCCCAGGCCCCACCGGCAGCCCCTCGAGGCTGTGTGTCCTTCACAGGGCATGAGGTCCCAGTCCGCATCTCTGAAGTACTGTACAACGTGGAGATTTCCCTCTGGGAAAATCACCCAGCAGGTGAAATCCTACCCAGAGGGGACACAGGAGTGCTCCCATGGGACAGTGTGGCCAGCACTGGGAGGGGCTCTGGCAGTTATTCTTTTTTTACGCTGTGATGTCTGTGAGGCTTGAGTGCCCAGCTGATGTGTTGTAACCTCCCCTGGGGGGATGTGGGACATTCCAGGCCCGGCAGGGGCCGTGCCTGCCAAGCTGACCTCCCTTGCGCCATCTCACCCTGGGTTTGTCAGAGTCCCGTGTGCTGTCGCTCCCCACCCTCCCCCGACGGGGCCATGCTCCTGGTCATGCTGTGATTTATTCATCATTCCGTGGGCAGGCGTGGGATTGTCTCCATGTTTCTGTCTGCTTTTTAAAGAAGATCAGATAAGCATGGAAAACAAACCTTGTAACCCCATCACTCAGATGTGTCCACTGTCAGCATTCGGGAGCAAGTGAGAGCAGTCTGGCCCACAGGTTTTAAGACTGGCTGGCCCAGGCTTTGTTCTTGTGCTGTGTGATCTTGGGCAAATCACTGACTCTGAGCCTTTTTCCCAGCTGCTTTCTCTTGGGGCTGCTGGGAGGAATAAAGAGAATGAGTATGAAACAGCCCCCGCCCCCTGCACCTGCGTTCTCTGTTGACATGGACTGACACCATTGGTATTTTTTGCTGGGTGTCTCTGGACCCTTGAACACACGCCCCATAGATCCGTGTCCTGTGTCTGCCTGCAGAGCCTCCACCCTTTCCACACTGCCATTCCGCAGTGAGGTTGGGCTGGGGTTTCACAAGCAGTTCCCATTTGTGTGGTCACAGACCCTGAGACACACTGTCCTGGGCACTGGATCCCACCCGTGGTCGGTTACAGTTGAAGTGGAGGGCCCCGTTGCTTGAGTCCAGCATGGGTGCCTCTGTCGGCAGTTCTTTCTGAGTTTGTCTCCATCCATGTTGGAGCCAGCCTAGGAGCAGAGCAGTTAGGAGCTGGCCTCATTCTCTTCTCTCCCAGAGCCTCAGCTGGAGATGTCTCCAGCCCTGGAGCTGTGGAGCTGTCGCTGGGTGCCTGGCGGATGCAGGCTCTGGTGACTTGGAGTCGCTGATGGCTGCAGAGAGGCTGCCTGGTCCCACGTGGCTGTGGGGGAGGCAGGTAGGACCCCAGGGCTGCAGAGGACAGGGCTGGGACCTTGCTCCTGGAGGCAGGGAGGCCCCCACCCAGCAAGCTGTGAGCTGCCCTGCAGCCCATGCACAGCCAGGCCAAAACAAGCAGACATGAGGACGCTGCCTCCTGCATGGGGCCTTGCCTCAGGGCTGGGCTGCTCTCTTGTGTGCACTCTGCCACTGGTGGGCTGTGAACTGAACGGGTGCCCAGCAGCACCCAGCATGCAGCTTTAGCTGGGCCTCCGCCTTGCTCCCGGCGCCCCCTGCTGGCCACACACGGCACTTCGCCTTAGGGACAAAGGCCGGCTACAGCTGGGGAGGGGTCTCTGCACCAAGCAGGTAACCTGGGGCTGCAGGGGGATGCAGCGCTGGGCTGTACTGACCTCACGACAGGGAGGCGAGCTCCAGGTGCTGGGGCCAGACTGTCTTTATCAAACACATCCATCTGTACAAAGCCTGCGGCAGGCGTTCATCGAGGGGAAGTCTCACCCGATTCTCAGGTGGCTCTGGAAGGTGGCCCAGGTCAATCCTTCAGGAGCTCGAGCCCATCCCCCATGCATGTGTCTGACCAGGGATTCTCAGAGTCACCGGGGGTACTAGAGCCACCCAAGAGCTGGCAGGACAGGGCTGGCGGGAAGTCCCAATTCTGAACCTTCCTGGGACCTCAGGTTCCAGCACCTTACTCAAAACAAGACTAGCTCATTCCATGGCTCCCGGGCACTCAGAAGTTGCCCAGGGAGGTGGTTGGGCCTGAGTAACATGTTACAGGCAGGAGACAAATCGGCCCTGTGCTTCCCAGGTGTGCACGGAAGGGTCCTGTGCCTCCCAGGAGGTGTGCACGGAAGGATACTGTGCCTCCCAGGAGGTGTGCACGGAAGGCGGAGGATCACTGTGCCTCCCAGGAGGTGTGCTGCAGGGTCCTGTGCCTCCCAGGAGGTGTGCGTGAGGTCTGTGCCGTGTGCACGGAAGGATACTGTGCCTCCCAGGAGGTGTGCACGGAAGGGTCCTGTGCCTCCCAGGAGGTGTGCACGGCAGGGTCCTGTGCCTCCCAGGAGGTGTGCACGGCAGGGTCCTGTGCCTCCCAGGAGGTGTGCACGGAAGGGTGCTTTCGTCGTGAAGGCCTTTGCTTGGCTGCGCTCATCAGGTAGCCAGGAAAGATTTAGGAGGGGAACGTGATTTTTGTAAAAACAAATGTCAGTGGGGAGAGCAAAGAGCCTTTTGTTCGACTTGAATACATAATTGACACAGTGCAGCGTCTGCAGAATTCCTGTCTCCTGTTTGGCTTCAAGATATTTATTTTGTTACCAGATGAATGCCTTGCTTTTAGAAGATACATTGTGTTGATCCCTTTGTCCCAGTTGTCGAGCTTTATAACCCCAAGGGCACAAAGCCCAAAGCCCTTGGGCAGCTGCCCCTCCCCTCTCTGGTACCTGGCAGCAGAGCCCCCAGATACTTCAAGCCAGAGACTCCGGCCCCAATTTTGCAATGATTGGTCAGTGAGAATGCAGCGAAAATCTGGCAGAGCAGGCCTGGCCCACGCACCTGTCCCTGCCTGTCCTGCATCCTGGGTGCCCTGCTCCATCAGAGCTGAAAAGGCTCCTCCTTGCTGCTCTTGGCCCCCAGGTGGGCTCTGTCCTGTGGAAAGGCACTGGCCCTAGTGTCCCGGAGGCCCTTGGCCGACCGTACAGCCTCTTGCCTGTTTCCTCCTTGTCAGGGAACTTCGTGATCACCCCTTCCCAGTTGGCCATCTGCAGAACTGTCTTCTGTCCCGTGTGCTGCATCTATGCCAGGTCCCAACGAAGATATGGCCTTGCATCCAGAGCTCGTGGGGGGACGTGAGAGCCATAGGCACGTGAATGGTGAATGGGAGAGTCGCAGTGGGGCACAGGCAGGGCCCTGGTGCAGACCAGAAAAGTCCTTCTGAGGGGTTGGGCCTCCCTGAGATGTGGGCTGGGAGGGGCAGCTGGGTGAGTGACAGGGGTCAAATCTGGTCAGGAGCCCTCACCTCTGCGTCTTGGGGGAGCCACTGCTGCTTAGGTGTCACACGAGGTTCTGCAGTTAGTCCCAGCCTTTTTGAAAGGCGAGACAGTACTCAAGTTAGGTTTCAGATCTGCCCCACCGTCCCATGAGGCCCACGCTCAGGCTGTTCCCTAAGGAGAAGGGTGGCTGGGCCCTCGCCTGCAGGGTGGAGGGTGGGAGCGAGTGCACAGGCTCTGCTGTCTGCTGTCCGAGCCCAACGGTGGCACCATGTCCCTCTTGGAGGGCACAATGGGACGCTTTGTACTGCAGCTCAGGCTGCAGCAGTCGGCGGCAGAACAGACTAACCTCTCCTCGAGCAGTTACACGTTGGATAGTTGGGCAGATTTAAAAAAGGTTCCGTAAAAACTTTTTTCCTTCTCCTCCCATGTTGTACTATTGGAGGTCATTATTCCCTGGAGCAAGATTTGCCCTTTCAGTGTGTCCACAAAGAGGAAAGAAAGCCACAGCCAGCCAGGGTGACGCGCCTCTTGCTGTTCCCAGGAGAGGAAAATGCTTCCCCTGCGTTGGGCTCAGACCCCTACTGAGTGGCCTTGCTGGGCTGCTGGGCCCTGGGTCCCGGTGGCTGAGACCCCTGTATGTGACCTGCTGGGCCCTGGTCCCGGTGGCTGAGACCCCTGGATGTGACCCACTGGGCCCTGGTCCCGGTGGCTGAGACCCCTAGATGTGACCCGCACCCATGCGTAGGGCACTTCTGGATGGTCCCGTGTCCCAGGCGGAAAATACGTGTGTGCCACTGAGCTGTGGAGGGGGGGACTGCCTCTGTGTGTCACATGACAATTTTGAAATGATGGTTTTCCTTTGGTTCTTCAGCTAGTGGGGCCCCTTAGACCCAGAGAAGTGGGGTACCCTGCCCCAGGTCCCACAGCCATGAGCCCACGGTGGGCAGGTCCCTCCCCACCGCCGCTGTGACCCTGGGCGCAGTGTGCAGGGTCGAGCACTGCTGGCAGAAGGCTCTCACCTGTTCCCAGGGTGCACAGCGCTGGGCCCGTCTGCTCTGGGAGGTTCGTGTGGGCTCTCGTGTGTTACGGGAAAGGCTGACAGGACAGTCTGTCCTGAGAGGGTGCGGGCCTGGAGGACATCTCTTCTCAGACTGGTCCCTGAGCTTTGCTGAGCTTCCCTGAAGGCAGCCCCCCGAGCCCCTCCCCCTCTGTCCTGAGGAGCTTCCTGGAAGAAGAGGTGCCGCCACCCTCATCTGGCCCTCATCCGGCTGGGGGTGTGCGGCCTTGTCTTGGTCCCTCCTTCCTGTGGGTGGGGGCATCCGGCCCCCAGGCAGTGTTTCTGACAGTCTTCTCAGTGGTCACAGCACATGCCCAGCTGCTGGGCTGTTCTGGTGGGAAAAACGTTTCACCCACACCTTGGCTGTCTGCGGCTCTGGGGTGTGGAGGGGTCACCTCGTGGGGGGTGGATGGAGAGGCCCCCCTGGGCTGTGGCTTAGAGCCGTTCCTTCTTCTGGGCCTGGCTTCACCTGAGTGTGTGTGTGGACCCCGAGCTGGGCTTTCAGGCGCCCCCAGCAGAGCTCAGCCCAGCCTGCTGTGACTCCCAGATTGGGACTGCGGGCTTCCGGGGTGCCCTCCCGGAGAGAGGGCAGGGGCAGGCGCTAGATGGGCAGCTGTCTTGGGATTCTAGTTTTGCCGCCTGCCTTGGCCAGGGTGAGTCTGAGCCTCAGTGTCTTCCCCTGGGAAATGGGCTGTCCTCTCTT